CCTAAACCCTAAACTCCAAGCTATAAATTCTTAACCAAGGGCCCTCTTGGTTCGAACAAAGCCGAGAGTTCAGCGTGAGACAAAGGACCACGGTTTAGGGTTTAGGGTTTTGGGTTTAGGGTTTAGGGTTTAGGGTTTAGGGTTTAGGGGTAACCCAAATATAGCTGGCTTATAACCCCTGTTATAAGTCCCCTAAATACACTTACCCAGGTTATAATTGGGTTATAATTATAGTTACAATTGGGTTATAACTACCATGAACCTCCAAGCTGGGGATGGTCAGGGCTTGGGGCTTGGGACTTAATGAAGGGGCCTAAATAATCACCAATACTATTTTGGGGGCTCCTTGTTATAATTATAGTATTACAACAGGCCCCCAAACCCTATCAAAATCATTAAGGCCCCTATCTTAGGCTAAGGACATTAGGATGTATGGCACTTCGGCGGTTCCGAGTTGCGTGACGAACTCAGCAACCCAGACTCCTGAAACAATGAATCGCAAAACACCCCGGCAAAGATATAATACAGCCCAGGGTGCCGCCAAATTGAAGCTCCTTTAATCGTTCATCATGGCCATAGGATTTGAGGCAATCTTTCTGAGGCATGTCGAAACAACACGCCCAATGCTGCAGTGCTACAGCAACCAATGAAAAGTATAAACCCAAGACATGAACAGGCATCAGTATGAAGAGCTGAAGAAACAGCCCCGTGCCAAAGAATGATCTTTTTCGACGCCAGGAGGCCGAAGCTAAGGCACGGTTTAGGGTTTTGTCGGCATGCAACTCGAGGTGCTATCAAAGCAACCCAGAACCATAGCCATGGACCACAGTAAAGGCTAGTGATCTCCGCATCGTCACAAACGAAGGGAGAAACACGAGCACAACCACAGTCTAGAACGCACGAAAAAAGCACCCTGCCGCAATTACCGTGCTCTAAAAGAAAGCACTGGATGTAGCAGAGCGATGTCTTTTGAAAGGAAAAACACAATGCGGCCATTGCCCGCTTTCCGCCTTATCTCCGCGTACGCGGACCCGGCCAGCAGCTCCGAATCACAGAAAAGCACACGCTGCTGCTTGTCGATAGCCTTCAGTGTTTGGAGGATACGACAACGCTTCACTGTACCACAAAGTTACGAAGCGGGAGGCCGGTCGATCTACAGCGAGGGTGGCGAACTCCTTCACCACCTTAGATCCTGGTAACAGGAGCTCGAGTTCCTGACACTGTAATATAGGGGTTGGAATACTTACTCATAATGTTCCTTTCGGGCCCCTGATGCCCCCTAAAAATCATAAGATGAGGCCCCTATATTACCTGACATGCACCGGGATCATGGCCCTCTCTGAGGGTACCAGATGCATTTGGGAAAGTTTACAATCTTTTCAAACTGACTAGACATCGCTCTCTGGAGATGCCAGCTCAGAGGTGTTGGCAGTGGCTGCCTCACTTAGCTGTGGGTTGGCTCTAATCTGGCCGTCCACAATCTTCTCCTGAAGGGATGCGGCACGCAGCACCGTCTGACGACATGGAATTGCTTCGGGGAGGCTTAGGGACGAGAGTTGCGTTTTGCACGGGCTCCTCACCAACTGCCGCACAAGGCCTGCCGATGACGGGTTCCGCACCACTGACTGCCGGAGGAGGAAGTTGCAGGCTGCTCGCCTCCTCCCCCTTCCCTTTGGCACGAAACTGCCGGCACAAGACTACGCACAGAACTGAGCCGGCCCCCATCAAGAGAGCCCCCAGGAGGAGGAACCAAAACCCTGCATCGTCACTGGCAGCAGCGAACCAAGACACATTCGTGACGGGGCAGCTGGTGGAGTCGAAATTGGAGTTTGCCGCGAACATGTTCATAGCGCCCTTCGTCGCCTCCAAAGTCAGCACCAAAGGTGCTTGCTCCACCTCACCGCAGGTCAGGAGTGCGAAGTGCCAGTCGCGAGGGGCGCTGGTCCTTGGAGGCTCTACCATCTTGCCCCACACTGGAGGACACAAGACAGCAGCAGAAGCCTACAAAACACCAGGTTCGGTTGCAATCAGACAAGGAATACAGCGGTAACTGCCAGACCTCTCACCACCCACACTGCCCCAAGATTGTGTTGGCACCAAGCCCTATAGCCGGAGGTCTGGTGCACTTTGATGCGGAAGTTGAACTTGACCTTGGTCTTGTTGAGCAGGCGCACCATGTTGGCAGAGCCGATCTTGTCTTCGCAGGCCTCTTGCCTTCATTTGCAGGGCCTCTCTGCATGCGCTTACATATGCGAGCCCTGTACATGCACCACAAAAGTATATAAGCAGAAACCACCTGGTGTCGTACTCAGACATGCATGCCCAAGCTTCCCCCAGGTGTCCCGCACCGTGCCCCAACGCTGCTCCGTGGCATCGAAAGCCACGAGCTTCACCGGCCCCATCTCATTCAAACCTCGCTGGCCTTCCTTGGGTACAGCTTACGTTTCCTGGGTGTCGGGTTTTGGGGACTGAAATGTTTGATGTGTAGGTCGTGACGGTGGGGGCTGAAGGTTTGAGGGCAAGTTCGGGGTTTAGCAGGTCGAGTACATGCGCGGACACTCACCAAGAGACTTGCCGGGCTTTACCCCAATGTATAAGCATGACATACAGTAGCTCCTGAAACTCAAGATGCCCCGAGACCCGCAATCCTGGTCTTTGGACCCCTATAATATAGGGGCCCAAATAATTACAAATACTATTTTGGGGTTCCTTACTAAGGCTAAGGTCGCTATATTACTTAAATCCCTGCACCTTGGCCGTCCTTGGCCCCTACAACTCCGGAACCCTAAGCCAAGCCCTCGCTCACTGACTCGGTCACCACAAGCGACGTCGCTAAACGCCCTAAACCCGGAAAACCCCTTGAATCCGGAGCGGTGACGGCAACCCTTTTCGTAACCTTACCCGAACCCTGTCTCATGGCAAGCTAATCGGAGCCCTTACAGCAGCCTTATAGAAACGCTAATATTGTAACCCCAAACCCTAAAACCTTCAAACACCCTTATGATGGCAACCCTAAGCCCTAAAACCCTCAAAAACCCTTATGCTAGCAACCCTAAACCCTCAAACCCTCGAAAACCCTTACGAGAGCAACCCTAAACCCTTAAACCCTCAAAAAACCCGGATGATTGCAACCCTAAACCCCAAACCTAAATCTGCAAAAAAAATAAACCTAAACCCTAAACCCTAAACCCTAAAACCCTAAAGCCCTAAACCCTCAACCCAAAACCCCAAAACCCTTTTTGCATCCGGGCTTGTGAAGTCCCAAAACCCTAAACCCTAAAACCCTAAACCCTAAAACCCTAAACCCTAAACCCTACATCGGAGGCCGGGATCCCACGTCACGTGGGCCCGGATCTCGGCGGCTTTGCTCGACTCCTCGGTGCCCTGGCCGAAGCAGAAACCACCGATGTGCCAGGCGCCATTGGAGCTCCTGTAGTTTAGGGTTTCGGGTTTAGAGTTTAGGGAACTTCAGGGTTTCGGGTTTAGAGTTTAGGGAACTTCAGGGTTTAGGGTTTAGAGTTTAGGGAACTTTAGGGTTTAGGGTTTAGAGAACGCTGGGGTTCAGGGTTTAGGGAACTTTAGGGAACTTTCGGGTTTAGGGAACTTTCGGGTTTAGGGAACTTTAGGGTTTAGGGTTTAGGGAACTTTAACGGTTACGCTCTCACAACTCGGACTTGGATCCTCGCCTGGAGCTTGCACAGTTTAGGGTTGCTGAAGCTCGATCAGGGCTCTATAGCGGTTTGCGCCGGTGGATGCAGCGCTAGGTTAGGGCTTAGTGTCTCCAACCCCTAAACCCGAGTTACTGAATCTACCTTCTAAAGCATAAGTAGGAAACCCTAAACCCAAAAACTTGACACCCTAAACACTAAACCCCTAAACTCGAGTTATTGAATCTACCCTCTAAAGCATAAGCCGCCCAGGGCTTTCAGGGACCATGCTCAAGGGCTTGGGGGTCTGAGCTGCCCTTGAAACAAATTGTCCAGAGTCCTAAAGAAGCCAAATTTTAACCTTTGGGGTTACAGTCAGAAAGCTTACTTAACTTAGTGGTGGAGTAGGTCACGCTTAACGTTCTTGTATTGTGATCCCTCTAATGTCGCGATTACAGGGCCCCGAAGAGGTTAAAGGTTATCTACTCGACTACTAAGTTAGGCTTTGTGAAGCCCGGAGCTTCTTGAGCGATTGCTTCGGCCTGATGCAGTGCGGCTTAGGGCGTTGGGGTATTGGCTGGAAAAAGTCCGCACCCTTGATTCCGTGTGAGGCTTTGGGGGACGTTGACGACGATGACGCTTATGACGACGATGGTGGTGACGATGGTGATGGTGATGGTGATGATGATGGTGCTGGTGATGATGATGATGATGATGATGATGTTGACGGTGATGGTGATGATGGTGGTGATGATGACAATAATGAAGGGGATGATGATGATGATGATGACGATGATGGTGATGGTGATGATGGTGGTGATGATGACAATGATGGAGAGGATGATGAAGAGAAAAAGAAGAGAAGGAAGATGAAGATGATGGAGGCGTGAACCCACAACCCAACAGCATAGGCAGCCCAGTGGCAGGGTGACGTTGGCCTCGAGCTGCGCCTCTCAAAGCAGGCAGAATCGATCGAGCTGAGGTTTCCTGCTTTATGGTGCAGGCTTACAAATACATAAGTTTGATTTGCAAATGAACAAAATAACACATAGAGACACACACACAGATAAAAACAAATATAAACACAGGTATGTACATATATATATATATGTACACACACATATATATATATACACATAAATACATACATACATACATACATACATACATACATACATACAGATTATTGCAATAATTAGGGTTTAGGGCTATGGGGACGGGTCGGAATCGGGGGTTACAGGGTCGGCCGGAATCAATAGAAACGGGGGTTACAAGATTCCTGTAAAGTAAAGGGTTCTATAAGGTCCCGAAAGTTGTGTCTCTTTAAGTCTCACGGGAAGCCACGCGCACACCGGGTCCCGTTTCGAGGCTCCCTGACGTGGCCGTACCCAGAGACTCCAATACCCCTTAATTAAGGAATATTCCTTAAATCATATTAAGGATCCTACTATAATTTGAGGAATATTCCTTAAATAAGGAATAATGGAGTCTCTGGGTAAGCTGCTCATAGCTACAATGCCGTTCCGCGGCTGCAGTGGCAGGAAGACTCTCTGCGACTGCTGGCGAAGCTATGATACTACCCAGAGCAGGGACGGCCCTAAACCCTAAACCCTTTTCAGCATGGGCTTGGACAACCCTAAACCCTAAACCGCTAAACCGCTAAACCCTAAACCGCTAAACAAAGCACTCTCACTTTACCATGATGGCACTCACCGGGCCTCAAAGCTTCGGATCCCACAAGGCCTTTGAGGGGCATCCTCGAACCTGACCCGGACCTCCCCATCCTAATCAGGAAAGCCCTTGAGACCCTTGAGGGTTTAGGGTTTAGGGTTTAGGGGCTTCATGACTGATGTGTACGGTTTAGGCTTCGGTTTGGGCGTAAGGTTTAGTAGGCCCTGCATCTTTTTCATGGAAAAATAACCCTGAGCCCTATAGACCCTAATCCTAATCCCTTTGAGCCTTCACCTTGCTGAAGGTTGAGTCGGCGTAGGCCGAGACCACCAAGCCAAACGCGCACAGGCCCCGCATAGCAACCGGTGAGACCATGGCAGGCTTCAGAGGGCGTAATCACCTCTTGGTAGACGGCCTTGAAAAAGGAGCACAAATGCCTGCGTGATGAGAAGGCTGCATCGAGAGAAAGTCCAAGACCTCAGGCCCAGCGCCCTTCTGCCTAGAACCTGCTTGTCCCGGAGATCTATATCAGGGTCAGGCTTATAGCTGGTGGCTTTTTACGAGGAGGCCTGAAATCAGCAACTAGAACAGGGTTTACGAGGTATATTTCATCATGACTATCGTAAGAAGCCCTACGGAATAGCGTCGGAAGCTATTTATTACCTACTTGAAATGGCCTGCGTGGTTCTGCGCGGAGACGCGGAGACAGTGTAAAACAAGAATTGAATACAAAGGTCGACTGGGACCTTGGGTGTCAGCTAGTGAGCTCTGCATCCTATGCCATGATATCCAAGAGGCTCGAGATTGCATCTGATCTTGGGGTAGCTAAAGCGTTGAGGCGCGGCTAGATGACTTGCTTCAGTGTCATGCTGGATCGTAGCCAGAGCTACTGGACGGCAAAATGCCTCGAAGATCCTTGCAAAGACTACGGTAGATGATATAACTCCTGCAATAGCTATACTAAGGAATATACCATAGCTCCCAGAGTAGTTTAGGGTCCTTAAGGTACCGCATTTATATCATCAACAGTAGGGCTTTCAGCTTAGAGGTTGGGTCGCTTGAGGGGGCCACAGACCCAAACAACAGAGACTGAATCCCTCAACCCTGCACCTTTCCGCAAGGTGAGCTTCCACTACTCTTACCCTCCCGGAACCCCAAACACATGAACCCGGAACCCCAAGCACATGAAGCCGTATTCTGGCTCCAAACAGTAACTGATTCGTCTCCTGTACTGAAGCACCTTAACATCCCTAAACCCTAAACCCTAAACCCTAAACCCCTAAACCCTAAACCCCTAAACCCCAAACCCTAAACCCCTAAACCCTAAACCCAATGCTTCTCCAAGCAGCTTCTTGAGGGAGTCGAGAGCCTGGTCGCTTTTCACTTCTCTTGGCGTCTTTGCTCATAACTTTTCAACCATATTAAAGTTCACGCACTCCGGCATTTAGGTTGAGGGTTTAGGGTTTAGGGTTTAGGGCAAGTTGAGGGTTTATAGGCCCGATTCTTTTTGCTGATGACCGCTCCAACCCGGGCCCTGCCCTGCACAGCATTGCCCATTATGGGGAAACCGGGATCGAGCAAGCACGGGCCCGAGCGCTCAGCTGTAAGGCACAAGTGACGCAAAATACGGTTCCTGGTAGAGGAACAGAAGGGTTTAGGGTTTAGGCCCTAAGCCGTAGATGGGAGCAGCAGGATATGAGGGACCCTAGTACAAATCCAAACTCGCAGGATTGCTTTCGTAAGGTGTTATACCCTGTACCCCGAGTTGTCAAGAAACCCTCAGGGAGGAGCATGGCCAGAGACTCCAATATCCCTTAATTATCAGGAGTATACCTTAAATCATATGAAGGCTCCTACTATAATCTAAGGAATATTCCTTAATTAAGGAATATTGGAGTCTCCGGGTTGCTTCTTTTTTCACAAGTTTCGCACCATCGATAACAGCGACGGAGATCAGACGCCAGGGCAGCATAGGCGATAGCATCGGCAGGTGAGGGTTTCGGGATTTTTCCCTAGGGGTTTGGGTTCAGGGTTCAGGGTTTAGGGTTTAGGGTTTAGGGTTTAGGGTTTAGGGTTTAGGGTTTAGGGTTTAGGGTTTAGGGTTTGGGGTTTGGGGTTTAGGGTTTAGTCGTTGTTTGTGGAAGGTACAAACTGGACGAATCCTGAACCTTGAACCCAGGGACTCCAATATCCCTTAATTAAGGAATAGACCTTAAATCATATAAAGGCTCCTACTATAATTTAGGGAATATTCCTTAATTAAGGGATATTGGAGTCTCTGGGAAACCCCCAAATCCACAAGCAGGCCTTCTCGGCGTTGGATTCTTGCCACACGCCGACGCATGCCTGGCATTTTTTTGGAGCTTTATATAGTTGGGTAATACCACTCAGATCTCACACGCACTGATTGTAACCGTTAAGTGTTGACCAGAACTCAATGTACCATGGCACAACGCGCTTTTTGTCTAGTCAGAGCACTGTAGCAGCAGTCATCCATACAAATGCACAAGGGGACAATACTTT